CTAGCCTTGAGCTGAAGAGCTGAGGGACAGCGCCCAGGCCCAGAGTTCAGGCCCCACGACCGGACCAAAAAAAAAAAAAAAGAAACTATAGGAAGGTAGAATGGAACTTTATGCTTCCTTCACTGTACATAGACATGCATGTGGCTAAGTGGATATGTAGTCTATGTTTTTTTGTTACTGACTATTGGAACATTACAGAGAATGTCAGGTACTATGGGACTAGATTAGCAAAAACAATAAATGCTTAAACCATTAATGCAGTATTTCGTTCTAATTTAAAAATATAAGTACAAGTTTTTTGTTGTTTATACCAGACTAATTGGGATTTACCAAATAATATAGAGAATGCTAGGTTAGATTTCAATTTTATATAAAAATTATATAATATGGCTAATTGCTGTTGGCACACATCTGTAACCTAAGCCACATGGAAGGCTGTGATTGGGAGGATTGTATTTTGAGACTAGCTTGGGCAGAAGAGTTTACAAGACCACTTCTCAATCTGTAGCATAGCTGGTTGCTGTGGTAGTACATTAGTATAATACCATAAAGGACAGGAAGCTTAAAGTAGGAAGAATGTGATTTAGACACATGACAAAGCAGAAAATGAGATCTTATTCTAAAAATAATCAATGAAAAGCAGGGCTGGAGATGTGGCTCCACAGTACTACAGGAGTCTACCAAAGCAAGGTACTGAATTCAAGGTCCCGTTATAAGACATATAAGATATGATCATAACAACATATGGATATATTTGCATATTATAAGAAAAATACGATGTTAAGAAACAGAACCAAAAATAACTTAAGCTTCATTATGTAGTTGAAGTAATAGAGAACTTTTAGAAGAACTATGTTTACTTAAGTGGGAGATTCATCTCAGCACAAGATCCAGACTGATTTATTTTACTTTTTTTAGGTGAAATAAACTTCTATCTCTAATTTTCCTCAAGGTGGAAGAATGGTTGTGACAGTTCTAAATTCACTAAATTTTCAAAGAGAGAAATATCTGACTAATAAAAAACTTTCTGTGGACCTGGAAGTGTCTCCTCTAATATTCTCAGCCAATTTGTCCTAATAGATCATTGACATTATTTGTATCGCACATTTATTATTGAGTCAAGAAACTACAGGTTATAGAATAAACTACTCTGGCAAGAAAAATGATCTTAACCATATTGTGGTAGAATAATGAGCCACCCATTGGTGATATGATTCATAGTAAGAATGGGTGGCTATTGTACTCTACAATGTAGAATATTACAATACTCAATGTAAACTACAAAGTGCTATACAATGTTTGCTTTAGAAGGAAAAGTTGTTCTTAACTAATGACTATATATAAAGTCTTTTCATGACTTATAGACAAATTATTAACTTCTCTGGGAATTTAAATCCTCAAAGGTAGATTAAAGGATTTTTATGTCTACAATTTTATCTTGTCATTTTCTTTATATATATATTTTTTCTTTTTTTTGGTTGGTCGTGGAGCTTGAATTCTGGGCCTGGATTCTAGCTCTGAGCTCTTCAGCTCAAGGCTAGCACTCTCACTTGAGCCACAGCGCCACTTCTGGTTTTCTGGTGGTTAATTGGAGATAAGAGTCTTGCAGACTTTGCTGCCTAGGCCGGCTTTGAACCATGATCCTCAGATCTTAGCCTCCTGAGTAACTAGGATTACAGGCATGAGCCACTGGCACTCGGCATTTTCTTTATATTCTGTTGGTATTGGTTTCAGATCTGTTGAATGATAAATATACATTTATACTCAATATTGTATTATGATTTTAAAAGTTCTTATCTTTTAGCTGTTCTTTACTTATTTTTTACTAATTTATGCAGTGAGTATTCTAACTGGTTTTACATCTCTAATGTAAGGTGCTATGCAGCAGCTAGAGAACAAAAAGTCAAGGTTAACAATATTGGAGAAGATATGTCGAGTGTGTCAGAAAATAGGCAAAAGTAGACTTGAAACATGTGAAACTATTTTTATTAGGAATAGTTCTGTGTTCCTTATTTTTTTATAGTAAAAAGTAAAAATTCAAACACACACATAGCTAGATGTCCACACAATCCATTATCTAATGCTACTTTGTTATTTTGAAATAAGAACTTAAAATTGTGGACATAGTAGCAAACTATAATAGATGCATATAAACATATATAATAGGAAATATATATATGTACATATATATAATAGGAAAGAGTACCATGAATAAAAAATAAAGTAAAATCTTAATATCTTAATAGTGAAAAACTCTGGAAAAGAAAAGATAAATTATCTTAAAATGGGTAATATGTGTCCAAAATTATAATACTTCATGAGTGAACTTAATAGGTTAAGTTAATTTAATCATATCCAAAAAGGAATAGATCCAAATTTGAATTACCATACTTTCAAAAGTTTTCCATTTAAAATCTGCTCCAAAAGTATTTTCGAAGTTTAGAACTTAATTTTGAGACCTAGGGAAGCCTGAAATTTGATGACAAAGGTATTTTATTTTCTAGAAATTTTAGTCATTAATATAATTAGAGAAATTATACCAAGGCATGCAAAAGATAAAAAGAAAGAAAAAAATATAAAAGAAAGGAGGAAAAAAGGAAAAGGGGTAGAAAGACAAAAAAGGAAGAGGAACACTTTAAGAACTCAGGTTGATACAATTATTCTTTAAAGCATGCCTTTCCTGGATGAAGAAATATGCATCCAGAGTTAGTATCACAATCTTTCAAATATATTAAAATATTTTTACACTTTGTCTTACAGTTCTTTTTCCAAGACAAATTTCTAAGTTTTTTACAGGTGCTTCCTGGATTCTTAGCCATCTTAATCTCTTCTAGACATATCTGGTTATGCTTTGGTTATTGGCATTGTTTCATCAAATAAAAAATATCCAAGCGAAAGTACTTAAAACAATGAACAAAGTATAATGGGCGACTCTGAAGAGAGGTAAGAAATGGAGATGACTGAAGAGTCATTCTCCTCTTGATAAGGGTAACTCCAGGTGTCCAGAAAT